CACTTTAGTAAGGGGCATTGTTGGGTGTGTGCCAGGAGGTAGATCCAGTTAATGTTAAGGCAAGAAATACAACCATAAAGAAAGGACATCCTCTCCCAGAACACTTAACTGTCCTCTATAAAAAGAGCATAGTCCATTTATCATCATCACAGGCTCTTCAGGTGAGGAAGAAATCATGACCTCGGCTGCACAGACCTTCTAGAGCACAGAATAAACACAGGCAATCACCGCCTAATAAAGATCCCTCCAAGGAGAATAGCTTTAGCAAAGCATCAAGAGATTGAGAAGGTCATGGATGGCCTAATTAAAGAAGGAATAGTCGAGAAATCAGATAGTCCCTAGTCAGCTCCCGTTGTGTTAGTCCAGAAGAAATATGGGACCCAAAGTTGCTGTGTGGACTTCAGAGCTCTTAATAGTATAACCGAAAAGGACTCGTACCCACTGCCAAGAATTGATGATACTCTTGATGCCCCAAGTGGAGCCATGTGGTTTTCAACTCTGGACTTAAAGTCGGGTTTCCATCAAGTAAAAATGGCTAAAGCAGATAAACCTAAGACTGCATTTAGTTATGGCCAAAGTCTCTGGCAATACCGAGTGATGCCATTTGGGCTCAGTAATGCCCCAGCAACATTTGAGAGGCTGATGGAACGAGTATTGGAAGGCCTACAATGGAGGATAGCCCTAGTGTACCTGGACGATGTCATTGTATTTGCAACAACTTTTGACGAGGAAATGTCCCAGCTAGAGGAAGTATTCAAGCATTTGAAAGCAGCAAACCTCAAACTCCATCCCGAGAAATGTCATTTGTTCCAGAAAGAGGTGCTTTACTTGGGTCACATTGTAAGTGAGCATTGTGTGCACACTTATCCTGACAAGGTGAAAGTAGTATGTGATTGGCCAACACCAGACAATGTGGGAAAGTTAAGAAGTTTCTTGCCAGAATGCTTTCAAGACATTGATAGAAAAATTGGCCTCATCTCCACTTTTAAAGCTTCCAAATCCCTTACTGTCGTACATACTGGATTGTGGTGATAGTAATGTTGGAATTGGAGGAGTGATTTCTCAGAAAGTGGGCAAAAACGAACATGTGGTCGCCAACTCCAGTAGAGTCTTGAGTAGACCAGAGAAGAACTACTGTGTAAC